TACTTCTTCTTCTTCTTCTTCTTCTTCTTCTTCTTCTTCTTCTTCTTCTTCTTCTTCTTCTTCTTCTTCTTCTTCTTCTTCTTCTTTTTCTTCTTCTTCTTCTTCTTCTTCTTCTTCTTCTTCTTCTTCTTCTTCTTCTCTGAAAAAAAAGGTTCGTCCTTAAAAAGATCACCGGGTTCTTTCATTATACTTTGTTTATTTTCCTCTGGAGTTTTTTTCTTACACCACAGGGCAGTGAGACCAGAACTGACGTGCACGAGCATCTCTGTCGTGAGCAGGAAACGTGGCCAACAATTATGTCGCGATGCAGGGGAATGAATCAAACCCTCGGCAAGTTTTTTTGCGCATATTGAGCTATTGATCGTAAACCCTGTTCATTTGCCTTTATTGTTGATGATAAACGTACTTTTTAAAATCTTGAATAGATGACGAAATGTTTTTCAAACTGAAGGAGGGATGGTCGCCTTGTGACAGATGTAAAATTAGGGAGAAAACAGTCGCCAAAGTTTGGTGCCTTCCAAGACTGTAGTGTCCAAAGGTGTTGACTTTTTTCTCTTTTTTTGTGACGTTGATAAACGTTTTTTTGTAAAATTCACGCTGGGGTGTATTTCAAAATAGAAATAAAAGGTGTTGAGTACGAAACAGAAACGAAGATAAAAGATGCCCAATGTGCAAGAAAATATGGGTTTCTTCGATTTTATTATTATGCATTACGAGTGCTTGATTGTACCAAGATGTCACACAATGATACCCAAATATTAGCTGCACTGCAGACTTTAATTTGATGTTTATGCTGACAAGAGACAGAAAGCCGATCCTGTTCCGATGACTCATCGCTAGTCTCGTTATCGGGTGGTTGGCAGGTGCTCAGTTGTGGTTTATTTCTTCTTTCCTGTCAAACAGCTATCGTCCTTATCTCGCCTTCTTTTTTTGCGTGTTTTTTTTTACTCTCTTGTAACATCTCTAATCTTTGGCAATATATGACCTCACTGTGTTGCAAGTATCGTAAAACTTTAATTAAAACAATAAAACATGTTCTCGTTAGCAATTTCAGAAAGAGCATTCTTGTCTTTTAACAAGGCTTAAACCGGCATTCTTTTGGGAAACTGAAACAGAATAAGCATAAATTCTTTACAGGTATACATAATTATGTTTTATATATTATTATGTTGTTCAAGTTGAATTTAAAAAGCAAACTACAAAAGGGATGTTGTAAACTAATATGTATTTTGTCGTAACTATTTGTCTCTTTAAATTGTAAAAACTTGCTTCAGCAGTGTCTTCGTTTACTACTTGTGGCACAAAATGTGTGCCCGCTTCGTATATAAAGGGGTTAATTCTCTGACATCTTGTCTTAGTTTTAGAAGAGGTTTTACGGCGCTCGCAACTGCATAAGGTCATATGTGAGGCAGCATGGTGGGATCAGGTTAAAGCTTGTTCATTTGTATTGCTTTCAATGAAAATATTACCCATCCATCTTCAATAGAAATTGAGATATTTTGGATTGAAGGCGGTGGGGTCACCTGATTTAAGGGGTACAATTAGCGAGAAAATGGCCGCCAAAGCTTGGTAAATTCCAAAGCTGGAGAGTCCATGGTAACAGTAAATTTATATTTTTGTGCCTTTAATCAACGTTTTCGGTGAAATCCTCAAAGGAATGTGTTTGTAAATGGACATAAAAGGTGTTGGGCCAAAAAACAAAAATCTGATAAATTGCTAAGCAGGGAGAAAACTGCTGTTTTCTTCAATTTCATTTTTTTGACGAGTGCCTGATTCCACCACGCTGCCTGACATGAGCGCCAAGGGGCGGATGTCAACAGAGAAGTACTTACAGAGAATCAGACCTACTCTGCATACCTCTCTAGCTTCAACAGCGCAAAGTCTGCTTCGACTATCAAGGTACCCAAGAAAAAGCGGGTCACAAAAGAGTGACCACCATACAAAAGAAGTAGAGGCAAAATGACGATTATAAGGATTAGGAAAGAAAAAGCAGCAGTTTCCTGTTGCAGGTCAGGCACAGTTATGAGCATGACATTGATGAATCAACACATTTACAGTTACAATTCTACTGCGCATAAGAACTCCATATGTTAATGCTCCCCCCCC